AACTAAGAAATGGTAAATATGATGCACGGTGTCCCATTACAAGAAAGTGCAATAGCTGGAAAAAAAAAATATTTCTAACTGAAAGGAACTCTTAAGAATAGAGTTTAGAGGAACTTACACGTAGTGCTTGGACAGGAGTTGACTGCCTTGCTTTGCAAAAACACTGAAACTGGGGTTGTAGCCAAATTTCCTTCTATGAACGTTATTTACCTGCAGAAAAAAAATGAACTGGGTCAGCTATCCAGTGTCCCAGGTGAAGGAAAACTTGGATATACCTGGTAGTTTGAAGCTTACTTGTGAACAAACCACAGCACCTTCTGCCCCGGCTATGTCTATCAAGCATCTGACCTGGCAGGAATATCACATTAGCAATGTATGTCTAAAGGCAGGAAAGCTTCAGTGCTTTCCTAAGACGCTCAATGTCCTCTACTGCAAGGACAAATGGGATTTATAGGCTGGCAAATGCAGACTGAATTCAACACGTGTATGAGAAAATGAGCCAGCTTCCAGGTGCTCCTGGGAATTTCCACTTCATAACCATCAAGCTGCCCAGTCTACTACATATTCTTCCAAATTATCCAGCTGTCGTATACACAATGACATTGAAGTGGGACGGAAAATTCTGGCTGATTGTCAGACATTAAGTACAAGTAATGAATGACTTCTCATTTCAATTGCCGTCTCCACTCCTGACTCAAGCGTAACTTCTCAGAGATCCTAAAATGAATCAATTCAAATTTTGCCTGAAACTGCTGGTGAGAGGCAGCACCTCCTGCTCTTTCTCTCTATTCTGGATGCACCTTAAAGGTTTGAATAGAACCCACAGAAACCACCCCCAAATAATTTTGAAATCATATTGTAAAAAGCACAAAACGTTTGCAAAACAGAAGTGATTATGTAATATTATCAAAGATTGTCCGTTTTCAGCAGTGTACCATGTTTTTACTATACACACACATCCACAAATATAAGGACTTTCCAGTCATTTTGCTGACCTAGTTCTTCATGCTTATGCAGTGTAGGAATATATGTCTTGGCACATAACACTCTACGATCTTTTTAGTGGAAACCAGAGACCACAATTTCCAGTCCCAACTATTAAACTCAGCAAAATGGCACACTGCAAAAATAAAATTCTTTGAAAAAAAGACTTGCGGTCTTAGGACAGCTCCACTGTATTAACCACTGTCATAAGTACAAGACCAGTATTTAAAGCAAGGAGAAGTCTCATATTCATCAACGGACTGTAATTTTACATTTGATACTGTAAGAGTATCATCATCTTACTGGTGTTCCACGATCTCCTGGTTTCCCTGGTTTTCCACTTGGGCCAGCAACTCCTGGAACTCCTGGGGCACCCTACAGCAGAAGACATGTAAAGTGAATTGTGGAAATCCACAACGGCCTAAGTGCTAGTAAGAAATGTGTTACTGTATTGAGTACAAAGCAATATTTAAAACAGTTCCTATCAGGTTTTTTTTTTCTGTTAGGTACATATCAGGCTAGAAAAACTTCCCTCTGGAAAAAAATAGTTTGTTTCTTCATGGAAATGTGTCCTTTTACATAACACCACAGTTTAACAGGCATTTCTGAATCTAAAGATGCAAAGAGCGTCTGTATGGTTTTGGTATCGCTTTTAATGACAGATTCCTAAAGCAGGGCAAGATAGTTCGGCCTTCTAACTTCATTTCGCAGGTCTGTGAACACATGCTTTATGCAGCTGTCTCCTCACCTTTTACTGAGAATTTCCCAGATCCATTTAGGATATTAAACAAAGGATCCATTTCATATTTGACAGAAACTGAAAATGTCAATGTGGGTCTCTCTTGGCTCAAGTTTCTTATTTCAGAGTATATCAAAGACAAAATTATATTTACCCCTGGTCCTGGTGGGCCTCTGGGACCTGTGGGACCATCTTTTCCTGTGAAACCCTATTCAAAAACAAAAGCATGATTAGAGATTAATTTAAGATTGTAGCCTGATTAAAATGGCCTTTAAGATTATGTAATTGCAATACTCCTGATTACTACTAGCACGTATTTTAAAACTTATCCACAATATAATTTATAAAAATAACTATCACGACTAATGCTGGAGAAGGCTATGGAACAATGAGCTTCAGCCAATTTAGAAGATGTTCAGCTGCTGTAGATTAATTGAAGATGGAATGAGTCTCTCAACAATTTTAAGAAAAGGAATCATCATTCTATCCCAGAGGAGCAAGATCTCACTTTTTGCTGTTCTCTCACTCACAGATTAGCTGGAAAACCTGAGGTTTCTACTTAAATGAAGAACAACCTCCCTCTCAGATACTTCCCCTGCAAGAGAAGATGCTGAGAAATCCCATTTCAATAACCTAACATAGCATTCACTGATGGTCCGTGGCCCACTAATGACCCACCAATCCAATGGTATGTTCTTTGGCAACTGGCTGTCACATGGTGGTCTGTTTTCATCTCTGGCTATCAACTCCCACTAAAGGGTAACTATAAATGCATATATCAGCTACTAATTTTGGCTGTAAAGGTAAGTCATTGCTTCAATAAACTTAAAGGTCATATGCCACTGTGAAGACAAAAAAGATTTGCTTAGTTGAGCCCAAATTAGAAGAAAGGGATTGCAACAACTTCACAATGAAATACCTGTGTGCATGCCCTTCGTTATGAAGACATTTCAGAATTCCCCCATCCAAAGAAAAGTTCTTAGCTCCAGATAGTCAAAGGTTAAGGAGCAAACTTGACCTTCACAGTACGAATGGCACAGACAGATTCTATATGGATATGACACCTCCCAGACATTGAGACAAGCAGCTTCAAAGTGATCCCCTGCAGCAGCAACAGTGGGTGGAAGACAGCAGGGCTGAGTACCCCAGCAGAGCCCTGCTCAGCGGACATACTGCTGTACGGGTGCAGGCATCTGAGAAGTTAGTCAGAAGAGTGAGCAGTACAATTTTTACAGAACTTATTTGACTACCCTATGGCAATCTAGGGAGGTTTTCACCACTACGTTTTTCTAGTCCTTCCGCTTTTACCTCTCCAGGTTGGATACTGGTAAAAGGATTCCTTTTGAAAAAGCATTTGAAAATAGAAAGATATGATAAAGAAGGGAAAACAAAAACACACACACACATCCCTCACCACATTACTTGGTCTTTTCAGAAGATAAACTGAGGAAACCTTACCCTTTCTCCTGGAGGTCCCATTGGGCCAGGTGGACCAGGTAAGCCTGGGGTTCCCTAGAGGGAAAAGGAATGATAAACTGTATCTGTGACAGAACAAACATCACTGCTATGCTAATCATCCCAGTATATATGCACACATTTAAATATTTATCTGTCTTCAATGTTGCTCTTTGGCACTTACAAAAATAAATCAAACCTTTAGGAGAAACCGTTTATTTCATATACATGATACAAGAGTCTCCACCCTCACTCTACTTTTTACTTCCGTTTCCTTAACAGTCCATAAGTCAACTTCAAAAACAATTTTCATATCTGTTTTATGGGAACAGTACTATCCGGTTTATTGCCTTTACAAGCATGAGTTACAGATGTCAGCTAATCCTTTAACACCAGGTGCTAAAGCCTAGCTGCAGGCATCAATCAGAGTGTATCTAAAGAAACAAAAATTAGACTCTTCCTTTAGTATTCTTTTCCTCCTATTGTCCTATTTTTTACTTTCTGCTGCTTTATTGTGCACATTCTAAATTCTCTGTTTCTGTTCCTTGTAGCTTCTGGGTAGAGAATAAATCCTAAAATTAAACAGGCAGGCTTTATTAGAGGACATTCAGGAATAATTTCATTCATCACTCTGTAGGATCAGTACCACTGTTGTAGAAACTGGATATTGAATAGCCTTGTATCATGTTGTCATGTTCTTCCCCCTTTTTTGTCTAATTTCATCGTACACTAACATGTAGTATCGCTTTCTACAGGACATTACTACTCCCTAAATGTATATTACTCAGGGTTATAAGGACTAATAAAACAGGTAAAGAATACAAGGCCCTTGGTCCATGACTGACCTTATCTGATATATCAAACTAAATCCACAACACCATTTAAGGATCTCCCATATAGTCTTTATATCCCTGGTGAAATCAAGGACAATATAGTAACCAAGGAATATTAGTTGTGTCACCACATGTGCAGATCAATGACCTTAGATTATCCAAATATGGCTGATTATCCAAAAAACACCTTATTTTTTCTCTTCAAAACCTAATCCTACTTTACAGTATAGAAACGTGCAAGTAAGTGAAATTTAATATTACTTTCTTCTTTCAGAAAGCATACAATTAATGTCCCAAAGCCGTTTGACTTCCAAAAGTAGAAAGTAATTAGACAACATTGCTGAAGAGGGGTTCAGCAAAGGTTCTGCAACCTTTATTTCAGGAAGACATTTAAATGCAGGTGGTCAGAAGTTGAGAGACCTTCCTGAGGAGTTATCAGTGTACTTTTCCTAATCCAATGGTCTGTTCCTGTGCATTCACAACCGTCTAGATAGACATTTGGCTTGACTCAGTACAGCTCTTCTTTCACTCTTGCAGTTTTGAGTGAAATATATATTTCCTATATTTCAAATTCCTAAGCGTAAGATAATTATGTTTCCAAAACTACTGCTTAGGAAAGTATGAGAAGAGCTCATGACTCCTAGTGATGTCAAAGCCAACCTGCACCAGGAATAGTCTAAAATGACATTATCTTGTCTAAGCATCAACTTACCGATCGCCCTGGTAGTCCAGGCTGGCCAGCATCACCTTTCATTCCTTGACGACCCTATAATTTTCATAAATGATTGTCAGAGATTCTGAATTACAGAATAGTTCAGTAACATAATTAATTTGTGTAAATGGACACAAAATATTTCTTGCAAGATAACTAAACTAAGGAATCCGTAAGCCAATTATGTATTATGGAATAAATCAAGTGATATATATATCTCTTAACTGAAGCAGTACTGATTGTCTCACAAACATCTGCAAATGCAGGATGACTGGCTGACATATTAAAAACATAGACAAGCAGACATTTGAAGGGGGCACATATTTTGATAAGGAAGTGACACGGACTTTTCAGTAAGAGAGACTGATATCATAAGCAGGAAAGCAGGGAAGGGTTACATGTTTGCTCCCAACCTCCCTTATCTTTCTCAACTGGTAAATGGAGCTGTCTACATGCACAAAAGGTAAAAGCTCAGTCTTTTTAAAGTATCACTCTTTTTCTCCACCCCATGGTCTAAAAGGCATTACAGACTTCCAAAACACAAACTGTAGGAGCATATCAAGAAACAATGTATTGCCTTTCACAACTGGCTTGCATGCCACTTCCACTACAGCCCTGTAGTACAAATGCACAGTCTAAACCCCAATGAGCTAAATCCGACAATACAATATTTATTTTCCACAGTGGCTTGCGTGATAATCCAGCATTAATAACTGTTGATGACACACAAATATTCAAACCATTTGTAAACATAGCCTGCCAATGTGAATTGCAATTGATATGAAAAATGAAATTACATGACTCCAAAGTGATGCTCTAACTCATTGTTAACTAATGAGAAGTTCCACTGATGTTGGTATTTTCATTCTTTGAAGGTTTTCAAACTGAATGTGGCAAATAAATGTATTTATTGTATTCCACATGTAAAAGGAATGTGTTTGGCCTTTCTTGCTGTTTGGCACCTCTAGGTCATCTTGATGAAGATTTTCCTCCAGGTATACAACAAAAAACTGAAAAGCATCTACACTGGTTAACAAAATCTTTCTGCTTTGTCCTTGCAAAACAGAAGGTGTACTTATTGTCTATCTTAAATCACATTTTGTTTTCCATTTCCGAAATTACATTACAGATTGAGAAGCTAACCTTGTTTCAAATGCAAAATGAGACAGCATGCAATCAGATGCCAATTCTATTTTTTCTTTCCATAAACTTTATATTTTAACCAAAGACTTCATATAAAAAGCTCCTGATTATATTAAAATTCAAGCTAATCCCAAACAGGAAACATCAAAATTATATTCCTGCTTTTGGGGTGATTACTTATTAAAATATCGCAAAAGAAGTCTTAATATATTCAGAATGTAGGTAAAAGGTTACCTACGCCATCTGCTATAAAAAACAGAATATGGTGAAACTTCATCAGTGTCAACAGAGTTTCTCCGGCTTTGAAGGCATGTACATGAAGTCAGAAGTAGCCTCCTGAGCATGCTGTTGCCATGAAAGCCTCCTAGGAATGAAGGGCTGGTTTTGTATGCCTAGATCTAGGAACCCATTGCCTTTCTGAAGTTTCAGCTACTGATTTAATATCAGAAAACAGAAGTTGGACATGTAAATCTGTGAGAAAGTCTTCAGAGTAGTTGATAGTTTTGAGTCCTAGAACTTGAAGGCCTCGCAACTCTACAGAAAAGCTGTAAGACTGAAAACGGAGTAGCACAATGTACATTACAATGCTTAGACTCTGTCCCTTCATAGGCATCCCATAAGCACTCGTAACATTCTGGTAGAAAATGCTATTGTATTGAAAGGGACTTGTTTCAGAAAGAGACTTGTTTCATAATACTACTATGTTTCAGGGAAAAATGGATGTTAGGGGAAAGCTGCTACCCTCTTTCCCAGACCACCATCCCCATGGACAGCTCTGACTCCACGCACATTGCCACCTGCACTCAGAATGGCCACTCACCGGTTCACCTGGGATTGACAGCCCGTTGGGGCCCTGCGGACCTGGGGGACCTTGAGGGCCAGGAGGACCCGTCTCGCCACGAGGACCAGGTGGCCCCTTAAAGCAGAAAATTAAAACAAGACTGTAAATGAAAATCCCTTCTTAGATCTTTAACAGCAAAATCCTCTGGGTTAAACACTGAAGGGAACTCAGAAGCCTGGAGACACATTTAATCCTTCAGAACAACTGTGGAAACAGTTATTCAAGTAGCATAACCTTTCATAAGCTGTTCTCTGATTCACGTTGGTGGTCTCAGGCCAATACATGCCTTCTGCCACTGTTAATTAGAAGTATAGCTGTCTCCTCTGTACAGAAGAAAGGACAACAATGCTGCAGAGTGTTTATTAATAACCTGATGCATGTACTCTAGTTTCCTGGTGTGCAATCAGTGCTTTTGAGGCTACATATATTCATAGGCTGTGTATATATAGTCTCAAATAGGTACACTGCACATAAATAACATATAGGCATATTTCCAAGTAAATTTTTAATCTTCATTCTTAGCTCAGCATAGAACTAAGCATACAAATTTTCATACAAGTAAGCATGTAGCAACATTATAGATGCATTCCAGCAATATACTTACAGATGATCCAGTCAAACCCCTTTCACCTCTGGGACCTTTAGCGCCTGGGCCACCCTAAATTGAATATTTGGAAAGAAAATGTATTTCATATAGGGAAAGCAAGGGTACATAATACTGGTGTGTGTTATGAATCCTCTTTATCAAACTCTTATGTGAAAGCCCAAAGTTTTGAAGTATATAGATCACACTGCTAAAAAGTGTACTAGAATAAAAGATGCATCAGAAACTTGGGCAAACCACAGCAGCTTCAGCCTTGCCAATTCAGCTCATGAAAAATTATTGTCATTTTTGTCTCTGCAGATATAAACTTCTTCAATTTATATTCATCAAAATCTCTGGATACCTCTCTAGTAGACTGCCAGACATCTTAACTGGGCTTCAGATTCCTCATGCAGTATTTTTGACAGCTTCAAAGTAGAAGGACTACTGGGCTGAGTATAAGTCCCTTATATTCAAAGCAATTTGTAGGAGCATATCCATTCTATAGATTACTATCTCTCCACGTAAAGAAAGAGTAACTAATTTATTTTCCTGACAGAGTAAAGAATCTTTTCTTGGAGTAAAATCCTGACTTTGTATTTAGGAAAAATATTTGCACAGTGCATTAAAAATACCTTGCACATGAAGTGCAAGACAGCTGAGATTGGGCCAGATTCTTTCACCCTATCAAAAAATGAGTAGCTATTCACAGCGATCACATTGGAAATCTGGGGAAAGGATTATTATATAAACAAGTAGAGGTGGCAGGAGCTGCCCAGCTGTGTTTCAAACTAAGATGAAAAGGGAGCACGTTATCATGGTATTATGGACGCATTCATAGAAACTTTCTCTCTGACCCGTGTTTCACAAAACCACAGATCAACACAAAACTACTTCCATAAACTTAAAAATCAGAAAATCTCTCTATTGTGAATAGTTCCTTACGGCTGGTCCAGGGGGTCCTGGAGGTCCCACGCTGTCTTGGGTACAGGTACAAGCATTTGGAAGAGCTGGGCATTTTGCTTCATCTCTCTGAAAATACAATCACAACTATTACTGTCCTTTTAAAGAAAAGTACTTAGTGGCAGTGTACTTTTCTAAAACAGTAACAGCAAGATTCTCTATTATCCTGTTTTCAAGTACAAGTATCACAACTAAATAGTGGTTTCCAAATGTTTTTACAGGACATTTCATGTTTTTAGCAAATTTTGTCTGTGAGCTATACAAGACATTATCAACAAAGGCACAGGCAAAATCAGAGTCATGTGCAACCTCTGTTGTTCTAATATTTATATCCATTAGGCAATCAGCTTGTACTGACAAAGAATATACTAGTTAACTTTGAATGCCTATTGAAGAACAGATTAAATGAAAACATAATATAGCTTAAATATCACTGAAATACAAAATATAACTGACATTTTTCCCACCATTCCTAAGGGACTTAATTCTAGCACATTACAATCTTTCTCCCTCAGACTCAAAACTTTGAAATGCAGTGTTGTTCACTGGCTGTTCCAACAACTGTGGTTTACATGTGTTGTCAGTATGAGGTATAATAACAGGCTAATATTGGTATTTTTAAATTCACTATTAGTAACGATTTTCTGAGTAGCCTCTGGTTCGTTTATACTTACCATAGAAGGAAGATCACAGCATCTGTCTCTGCTAGTCCAAACTGGACTGCATACAATGTCAAAATTCTGGATTTCTAACTGTAAAAGAAAGGAGGACTCTTGAAAGATACTAGAGATGTTATTTATGAAATCTAGCGGCATTATCATTAAAAGTTACTCCTCAAACAATTTATTTCTAATGTAGTTAACATCATTCAGACTTTCATTTCTCTTTTTGACACTGAAGAAAAATGTTTTTAAAATAATAAAAAATTTTAAACCAAGCCTACGTAAGGCTACAAGAACTTCAAGCACTGATGCTTGCTCTTGTTCTGGGGCAAATGGTAACCAAATAAAAATGACTCAAGAAATATTTTGTAATACTTAATGAATAATACTGATGAACTTCTACATTGGCTGAGTGCCTCTGCACTTCAACATGAGATCTGGCTGAAAGACTTTTAGACCAGCTCTAAAGACTGCAGTTCTTGCGTCCTATATTAATTCAGACTCATGTATGAAACTCCAGTGACATTAGCGATGAAAATTTGTGCAGAAAGGCTGAAGTGGGGACTGTAGGTAGACTGTACAGTAAAAGCAGCTTCCTCTCTTTTTTTCACTCTAAGCGCTATGATCCTGTAGTTTGATACACATAGAACCAAACATGTGCTGGTGAGCAACAAGAATCCTATTCAGAGGTTATGGTTTGCACACATGGGACAGATTGCAGACTTAAATCTTCTAATACGAAGCCCAGGTAACAGCACTGATTACATATTAAGTATACTTAATCCATGAACATAATTGATGTGCCCTTCATAGCATCAGCCACTTTTTCATGATAGGTTTATACATCATAAAGCCAGTGTGTATTACTCTGATCATCCAGTACAAGACAGACCATAGGACTTGCCAGAATTAAAACCTGTTCTTTAAAGAATGTCTTTTAGGAAAACAAAACAATTTTAATTTGAAGATTTCCAATGTCAGAGAACCCACAGTAAATGGTTTCAATGGCTAACTGCTCTCATTGTTAAAAGAAAAACATTTCCGCTCTTGTTTGAATTTACCTGACTGCAACTTTCAGCTATTAGATTTTTGTCCTTGCAATTCTGCTAGAATTAGAAGCTTAAGTATACTGGGTCTTGCAGTACAGACATTTGAAAGCTTTGGGTGCAATACCAGTTTCTTAGCAATCCTTAGTCTCGAATCACGTTCCTCAGAAAATTTCAAGGGCTTGCATTAATGAATGGATTAATGATTATTGCTTACTGTTGCTGATCTCCGGTCGCCTTTCAGAAGCTTCCCAAGTATTTCATAGCCATCAGTTGTGATGTTGCCAGCCTCCTTAATTGGTTTTTCTAGTATTTCACTGCAGTCAATGTAAATCTTAACATTTGATGAAGTTACAACAATATGGACCTGAAAAAAAATTTATCATAATATTTAGAAAAGGCACATAGGCATATTTACTTTAATACTTCAACAGTATTTCACTGTTTAGGTAATACTGTTTTAAATTTTCTTCCTAGCAATCCTGCTTTTTTTTCAACTGGTGGAGAAATTCAAAGTCAAGGAAAGTCTATGACATTAGTAACCTCTTTAAAAATATGTTGAAGGTCAATAAGATGAATACACAAGCACAGCTAAGTACTATGTAATGGTTGAAATACAACGATCTATTTAAAAAAGCTTGCCTGAAAATTGCTTTAAGATGGCATAAAAGCAAAAAATAAAAATAATTTTTGAGAGGAAGTGAATATAAACTCTTCTTGTCCTCTTCTGACGGCTGGGACCACACAAGAGGTTTATGAGTCTGTGACTGCCCACTGGTTAACAGACTCTGTAGTTCAGGGAGTAGATTGTTTCGGATCCAAAGAGCCAGGGTTCAGTTTCCACAGATGACTCAACCAGAGACATTAGTTACATTGAGACACAGGAAGTGAGCAGAGACGCCTGCCCAGAAAAAGGGAAAATAATGGAAGATGCAAGACAGAAATTTCCATGAGAGAAATTTGGCTACAAAAACATATGCTAAAATAAGGGGAAACAGGGTAGAAGAGGAAGAGATTAATTATTGGAGATAAGGGAAACTTAGGAGGGAGAAAAGAAAGACTGTAACAAAGGGAGAGTACGTTTACCAGGAGAAGAGAATGAAGTGTTTGGGGAAAACATAGTAAACCTTAAATAGAAGAACAAATAAAATTGAAGCAAAGGTTACTACTTCAAAAATTTATAGTACGCATGGCAAATGTTATGCAAGTGAATTTCCTACATTTCTATGAAAACAGAAGACATTCAGGAGTCTCCTAGAAAGAAACAAGGGTCTCACAAGCCAGTAAATCTAATTAGTGGTTGATGGAAGAACATCTTAAGGCAACAGAAAGGTTTCAGTGGCTTCATACACCTTATATACTGCATATATTTTACATACAACGTTATAACACCTATGTAATTGTTAAAATATCTACATAGTAAGATCAGGAGTAAAGAATACTTGCGGTATGTATTTATGTTTTAAAGCTTCTGTTATCACAGTACATAACCCTTCAGAAACATACTGCTATTTGATGACTGCTAAAAAAAATCGGCATAAAGTTGAAACAGAGATTCCCTTAAATGTCCTGAGTCAACAAGTGCCTGAACAATCTCCTGAGAATTTGTTCTTTTTTCCCATATTAAATATTTTCCCATGTGGAGTTGTCTCCAAGGCATCAGCATAGCTTATCTAAAACTCTTTAAATACTACGTGCTTATGCTTTATATAATTGGAATTAAGACTTCTGAAACTGCCCTTATTTCTTGTCATCTGAAATTCAGTTGGCATCACAGTTTAATTCTCAGTGTCTTGTATACAAGTGGTCTTTTTAATTATCATTCCCAACATTGTTCATTGACCAAATAAAAAAGTAACGGAAAGATAACTGAGTGCGTCCAAAGTACACTTCGGTATTATACACAAAACTTTCCACAAAATAAAATAAGCACCATGCCAAAACTTTAAATTCACTATCATTTATACATCATATACCCAGTTACTTGATTATCTGACTAAACTTTACAGGTTAACTAATGCATCAAACAGTTTAAACTCATCATAAGTGTAATTTACTAATTCTGAAATTACCTAACATGCAAGTCATTGTACTGGAATGTTAAGTATTTGTCACGATTTAAATAAAGTAAATGACATCTGCATAGCAAACATACATTACTGCATTTTCATTTGCACACAAAACAATTAGGAGAGGTGAATCTACATCAGAATGCTGAATGAGACCATCAACTTGAAAATGCTCAAACGGCAATGATGGCTGAGCATCGCCTATCCATCCAAAGAAACAGCGATCCCAGGAATCAAAAACTAGCAGAGCAGCCCCAAGTCGCTGACTCAGTTGGTTAACTGCTGATTTAACGCCAGCTCTGAATTCCAGCCTGAATCTCACGGCCCAGGCATAAACCTAGTAAAACTAGGCATCTAGTGTTTACAGTAAATAAAACATCTCTGTATTGAATCCTGCTACATTTTGTTTTTCTGTCAACAAAATGTTAACAGAAACATTCTCTTCAATTTCTAACACACCAACATACAGCATCACTTCTGACCATTTCCGGTGCCAGAAGGCACTGAGGTTTTAAGAAAGCAAACATACTTTAATCTTTTTCTGGATCCCTTCTAAGATAAAGCTTAATGGTGTTCTGATCTACTGCTAAATGAACCACATCAATAAGCTAAGCAAACTATTATCCCATATGTGCATCAGCAAAAAGACATACACTCATTATCAAATTTCCTGTGGCTCACTACTGTAAAACTGCAATCTAAAAGGAAGTCTAGCATGGTAAGAGCAAGAAAGTAGAAGTCATCTGTCTCTCCAAAACATTCAGTTATAAATTTAATGACTGTCTCAGTCAGGATTTTTCCTATGGGACTTGCCAGATTCAACAGCTTTCACCATAGCTATGCTACACAAAGTATTCAAGTATGCCAAAGTAAATTTCCCTGCACAGTTAGGTGTAGTTAACTGCGCTTCACTGAATGAGCCAGTAAGTCATCGAATGAAAACCACAAAAATGTTTGATATTTTGGAAAACACCTTCTTGCATTCTAAAGATTTGTCATTTCTTTGAAACTGGATGGTAGCAGAAATTGCAAAAGTATCTTTTGAAATGTGTTAATCTTACTTTTCTTTCTTCACCCAGCTGAAACTACTGCTATCCTTTATTAGGAGCTAATCAACATGGCTGATACATAAGGCTTTCCCAGCACGTGAGCTGGAGAATCCCATGATGCTATGATTAACAACCTGACTCATACAGCAATCTCAGTAATCATCCTGGAGAGAATCCAGAGGAGTCAGCTCAGTTACATGGTGAAAAATCCCAAATACAGCTCTTTAAATCAAGGCTACTCCAGTCACTTTAAATACTATCAAAATCTGAACTTTTGATTCTTTTCTGGGAAAACAAGGAAGGGGAGTGAGACACGGCACTAAATAACTGATGCATTTTTCCTTAAGAAATAGTCTCATAAGCAAGAATTCATAGTTTCAGACCTTTAAGATAATTTGCAAATGGCTGTTACTCCTGTACATCTTAGGATTGCTTTCTGTTCATATGTATACGTGTACTTAACTATTAAAATAATACAAAACTCTGGATTTTTATTTACGCTGTAATTGTTTTTCACCAGTGTAATAAACAGTTAGACATAACTGTCAGTATTGCTGGGGTTGCAGATTGTTCCCCATTTGCTCTGATAAATGAGCAGAGCTCCAACAGTAAGCGCTGGCAGATAATTCTGCTCAGCTCTACCACATTCAGGGGAACTACAAGGGAAAATGTGACTCTGAACGTCAATGAAATTAGCAACAGACACCTAAAACAGACTGCTGGCAGTACAGCATGTAGAGAGCTTCACACCACTGACCTGAAGAAGGAAAGCCTCAGCTCTCACACTAAAATCAGGCTTGCTACATGCTGTTCTTTGTCTTAACAGTACTTCTTGGTGATAAGATGACTCAGCTTTTACACCAAAACAATATCTATCCTAACCTTTACTGACAGTTTTTCTCACTCCAGTAGATTAATACATTTCCTTAAAATTCAGTTGTCCTACTAAGCTATCAAAAAAAAAAAAAAAAGGGGGGGGGAAAAAGCCAAATGCCAACGACAAAATAGAGGCCGTCTAATGCAGGCGTGATCCAAGCCTACTCATCAGTACCACTTATAAAGTCAATGACATAAACATATCTTCATACATGCAAAAATAAATAGCCATTAAATAAATTATAAAACAAGAATAACTGAATATAACACCACAACAGCTTAGGAAATTATCCTCTGTCAAATTCTGAGGAAACCAATAGTTTTTATAGTACTGTGTAATTTTCATAGCCATCCGTATTTTAAATAGATGAAGTCACAAAACATTATAATGCTGGCACCAGCTATCTTTCCCTGCTTTCAGCCTAGCAGAGCTAGGTTGACAGTGTGGCTTCCAATATCAGCAAGTTGACAGAGGCAACCTCTTATCAGTATCCTCAAAGGAATGCTGGTAATAACTAGCCACGCAGGAGAGGGTATCATAAAGAAAACAAATGTTATACTCTAGCCACATTTAGTCATCAGAAGAAAACTAAACTAAACAGAAGGGAGATAAATGAAAACATGAGAATGTGTATTTCAGCTGACCAAAAATGTTGCAATTGCAACTCACTTTCTTGCCCTAAACATATATACTTAACACAGCAAGAAAATATTTTTTAAATTGTGGCTTAGACATAGACATAGCCTAAGTCAAACACTTCCTGATCACTACAGGTAAGGAAGAATGGTAGGAACAAGTTTTCATAGTTTGGTGCACAAAATTAGAAAAGCAAGCACAAAACTATCACAATTGAAGGCAGTTGCAGTAACATGTAGGGATTTCACTAGCCATTTTGACGTGAGTTTCATTCTAAATTGCAAACAGATTATACGTTCTTTTATGGGCTCTCTCTCATTATTTTTGATTCTTCAGTTAACATTACTTTGGCATATTTTAGGTCCAGTGAATTTAAACCAAAAATATACCCATACACATACATGCATACAAAATATATACATATACATGTATTACATTTGTTAAACATATGAATCTTATTCAATTCACTTCCCAAAATCGGTCCCCTGCCTTTATCTGTAAGTTAATAGCTACTTACTTTCTGTGGTTGTATCTTCCTCTTCTCTGAATGACTTCAAATCATTACACCCCCTCCAATCTTTGCTCACCACAACTTCCTTTCCTTTTTTTCCCAGCTTATCTTTTATTCTTCCTCTTTCATGTGCCAGGAATCAGGCTATGATGTCTTGTTCAGATATATCCCTCCACTTACACAATCTTGAAAAATTCTTGACATATCTCTTACATGGGTTCAAAGAAGAGCCATAACTTCAGAGATCTTGTTTTACATGATCTGCAAGTCCCTGTGTCAACTTACAGTACTATACAAAGACTGGACATAACTCACAGTGACTTCTGCTTGCTTGTCTTTTGTTTCAAAGAACAGCACTACAGAAAGAAACTTTCATAATTTCAATCCTTTACCTTATGGAAGCTTCCATAAAAGATTTTCTTTACTTCATCATTATCAAAAGTTACAGTTTGAACCTCTCCCCTTGTATCCTTGTTAAAGAATGATAGCACTTTGCTGGCAGCTGCAATAAATGAAAATAATACATTTCATATGTACTACTGAAACCACCATCCTAAGATACACTTATAGATAAAATGTAGTATATTACTCAATTGTGTAAACACAGGTTATAGATGGTTTTACTGACCCATAAGTACATAGATGTATTTTCTTTTGGTTTTAGAGGTAATACAAAAGTTGAAATGTAGCTTAGATGAATTATTCTTAGTTAAAAAATAATTAGTGTACAAAGTAAAAAAAAAAAAAAACACTCTTAAAAGCTAAAAATATAGAATCTTTTTATCATGTAGGAATGTTTTGAGTTTGGAAATATTTGGGAAGAATGCATGCAAAGTAATGTAACATATAAAATCTCTATGCAACAAGCATTATCATCCTTACGATCAAGCACAACTCCAACTTGTGGTTTGTAATCTCTGTCGGTAATCTGCCAAATTGCAAAAGGCTCATTGGGGGATTCAGGCAGAAGACGGAATAACAGAATTATAGTGTATGCCTGTGGCAATCCCTCTGGGTGAACCTCCCTGTTAAGACAATATGAAGACATTTTTTCATATGGAAACACATGAGGAAAATAAGATCTTTATCATTTGCTCTTTTTCAAAGAAAACACGAGAGTAACAGGGAAACCATAGTGTTTAATGGAACTGAGCATTTTAACTACTCTCTCAAATAGAAAAGAATTTTGTGATAAAATACACTGTGTGATTTGTTAAGATGAACTCACAGCCTGTCTTCAGCTGGTCCAGGCACCATGGTTATGGAGGAAGCCAGAATACGACCAAGAACTCTTGGAGATGTATTCTTGTGGCAAGATTCTGTATAAACTACACATATTTAAAATTCCTTGATGATAAGTACAGAAAAAAGGACTGCAACTTTATTCTTTTCTCATCTGGCCTGTTTTAGACAGGCAACAGAAAACAGCACTTAACTATTACTGCCCTTCAGGTACAAATACAGTGAGGGAGATATTTCATGTATTTTCTGCAAATGGTGATGTATTTGGGCTTCATTTCATTCATCAGTGGCCGAGGTTTAGATTTGTGACGTTCAGACTGCTAGACATCAAAAAAGCAGAAAGCCAAAAGGAAATAAAAGCATGCATTAAATGGCCTCCAGCATTTTCTGAAGGGGAAGGGAGGGAATGCAGGAAGGGAACTGTAAGAAAGGAGGTAGCTTCTGCTTCTCCCTAACCGTTATAATGGAACTGAGAAGGGGATTTGGCCTCATGAACATAAACATAGAAACCTTAAAATGAAGAGAGGAGCTGCTCTGTATTTTAGGCAAAGCTTATGTACCCATACAATTATGGACACTGCAATATTAGCCGTATCACTAAGTCAACAACACCACAGAGCACAGTGCAAGAATGAAAATATTAAAGTAGATATAGCAATACTATTTATAACTTGGATACCAAGTTATTTCAGATATGGAAACAACTATGCCACCAGGATCGGGATGCTTTTCTTGCTTTGCTGACTCAGTCTAAAGTGAGTTTCATCTTCTGGCTTCTCTAGAAAAGTAAGTGCCCAGAATACTCTGGCAAGTCTACTCCACCTTTTACAGCAGACAACAGACTACATATCACAACATTCTAAAAAAATGAAATAAATAGGAAGTCTGTCTTTTTATTGTCTTTTTACCATCTTATCCTACTAAATGCAAGTTTATCTTAACGTAAGAGAGTTGCAAAACTGGGATTATCTGTACTTCCCTAGATCTTAAAAATCCAGGCTGTCAGAGATCTATCACCCTCATAGCTATAACGGCACATCAATGAACTCAAAAAGTCCTCAAGTCCTCTGCTTTTAAAGTTGTAAGCTGAGAAGGCTGGCAAAAAGAAATTATTTCTTCACACACTTCAGCTCCTGTGCCTGTGATCTGATCTTTACCCAGTCTGGCAGGATTGCAGAAGATTCCAAAGGCTTGTATGAAAAGAAGATTAAATTTCCTTAATTTAATAGGAATAATGGGCTACTTTTAGGCATCTCCTCTGATTCAGAATGACTTTTTTTTGAAACTTACTTAAATAGATGGGAGAGGAACAAATATAAAAAGAAAAAGAGAGAGGTACTGTTCCCCTCTTAGTAAAACTAACTGCTAACTAAGTCTTTTTGGGTTTTGTGAAAAAATGTTGGCAAGAACAACCATATATTTACCTTCCATAACCAAGCTCTAAGACCACAGGCCCTTGAAAACTCCATTCCAAATATGGCAACTCAAGTAGAGGTGAAACTACCCTAAGTCAATGTGTCAATGTGCTGTGTGCTGCAGTATGAATGATGCCTCTGCAAAAAGTGGTGCTTATCCCTCTGTATTGAGATCATTTCTCTCTGGCAATATAGAGCTCATCATATCAAGGACGCCGTTGTTCAACTGCCTAAGGACAAACTGTGGATTACATGCAACTCAAATGGCTAAGAAGCATAATCTCAAAAAGAACAATAAGCAACTGGATTAATAGTGAACAGATCACAACAGAAGAAATAGATTAGCATTTAATGGGAACAAGGATAGATGTTCTTTGGAGTATATTTCTTGGGGCTCAGTAAAAAGAATATCAAATAAATGCATCTTCCATAAGATACTAATGCTATCATCTATAAACTCCATTAATCCTTCCTCACCTGCTTGCCCTAAATATGAGTCTTTCAGGTTTACTTACCGTATTGGCTGGCTGACAAAGGCATTTTTGTGTAGTCTATATGCTACATAGCTTGGGAAAGAGCCTGATTCCAGTGATACGCCTTGTACAGAAGCAAAATGTTTCTCTGTTAGATTATATGATTCCAGCATCTTGAAACCTTTAAATCCAGAGAGAAGAATAGAAAATAAAAACACTGTAAAGCTGTAAAAGACACAAATGAATCTATGCCAAACTATTAGACAGTTACTTACCAGGTGAAGTGTATCCCTCCAAGTAAATAAGAGGACAAGCTAAAAGACATGAAACAACATAAAATTCAAAACTATAAAACCTAACAGGATATGAACATATATATACTTCAGAAAATTTTATTACCAAAAAGTCTGTGCTATTATTATCAGCCAACTTTTGTTACATTTGTTATACTGTGTTCTGCCCTGTGGTAGATGAACTGTTAAAATTTTTACTCATTACTTTTAGTAGGATATTTCTACCATGACAAATTGTATGGAACAACAAAGGAACCCCCCAAATATTTTAAAAGTCTAATTCATAAGAAGAAAGGAGCACAATGACACAGTCTTTCCATGAATACTTAAGGCATGAGTCAGGCTGCATAATAGCTGTCAGATTCACAAGGAAAAAGTGCAGATTTATACGGCTTCTCAGGAGCCAGCAGACGAGGCAGTTAGGGAGTACACAGTTGCACATGACAGGCCTGAGAATTTCTCATTTTTGCCATAGAAGGACTTCACTTGAGTAAACAGCTGAACTTTATTTAGATAATTTTGAAACAGCATCACACACTATAGCTGTACCTCTTTAGCACCCCTAGACCGGTGGTAAATAAGAGACTTCTTGTGCCCCCCAGTTCACATTAGGCATCATTTTACTTCTTAAAGAGAATTAGTTCTCACTGACTGTTAGTCTCTTTCCGTTATACCAGTACTTTTGAATTGTGAGACAAGATTACATAAAATATAATATCTACTTCAAAAATTTAAAAAGTAACTTGCTCCCTTAAACTATGTCCAGTTATTATGAAACCTAACTTTCATATATGAACATTTCTTTTGATGTACCTTAAATTGGACAGCAACTGTAGCAGTATATAAGCAAATGTATTAACTTGGGAAAAGGGAAAATGATGTCTTTTACTCACTTGAGGTAGCTGTCTCACACACAAAGGTGACGAGGTTATCTTGAATCTTTTCAAACGCATCAAAGTCATCAACAATAAATACATGACGCTCACTGGGCTTGCTGGCAATCTTGGCCAGCTCATTGTAATCTACATCAGCCACACCAACCACAAACACACTGAAGCCTGTAAAAATAACACTTGTTACTTGAAATGTAGTAAACATACATTACCATTTTTCAGGTCAATATTTCACAAATCATCTCTATCATTGATTTCTCAGGCTCTACCTAGTCTTTTATCTGGCCTTCATTATGAGCATACATTCTGGACATAATTTCACACTATCAGAGCTCAGGAGGGATTAAACTGATATATGCATCTTTCTTTTAAAACCTTCTCCTCCTTCCTTCATTGGTTTTTGTTGGGCATTATCCATTCTCACACGACCTTGGATACATAGTCCCCTCACTCTTTCATACAAAATGTACAGTCCTTTGAACTCTACAGTATACTAAATCTGTTCTGTGTCCAGAATCTCTGTGCAGACTGTTAGTTACCCAGTTCTCTATCTGTTGTCATCTCCTGCATTTCAGATTTCTCAGGTTCACTTTCTTAGGGTGGTATTCACCTCACCAATTTTTACTTTCCAAGTTAGCAACAAGTCTAAGCTAGTTGTCTAGTCTTCCTCTATAACCAACAGACAATGGGCAGATTCAGAATGCCATTTGTCTCACCTCCCTAAGATCCTAACTTCAAGATAGAAGAAGCCACGGTCTGTAGATGCCTATCTGCTGCTATCTTCACTAGCCATAAAAGGACCCCACATGATGACCTTAGAATAGACATTTAGTTGTTAGATGGCTTAAGTCAAATGAGAAGAACTCAGATCCTAGAATTTAATCATATCACCAGGTGTAATGGCGTAATCTCCTTCTTTGTCAGGGTGATTTTCCTCTTCAAATCCTTAAATTAGTGTCTCATTGCCTTCTACGTCAAGTTTTTGTTTCCTGCTATCTTCTAGCCTTTACAGAGTTCTCTCTCTAACTCATTTCTTCCTTTCCTTTCTCCCACCTAAGCTTCCATGCGATAATTTGACCTCTTTTTGCCATACCAGAAAACAAGGAAGAAAAAAAAGTCACTGCACAAGTCAACATTATATAGAAAAAAATCTCCCACAAAATTTCATTGCCAAGAAAGTGCACAGACATTGGAAATACCGGTCAGAGGCTGAAAGCAGAATTTACATTTATTGCAAATGATAAAGCTATCTTTATTTATATTTTTAATTTTTAAAAAAGAAGATAATTATTCCTCTGTAGCCAATTCTGGCGAAGCTTTGTCCAGAAATTCTGGTCTAGCTTTAAGCACAATGTTTAAGAAACCAAAGCAAGTAGACAGGAGAGCAAAAATGATAAAAGGTTTGGAAAACATGATCAACAGGAAGTTGAAGGAAATGGGTTTGTTTAGTCTAGAAAAGAGAAGACAGAAAGAGGAAATGACAGCAGGCTTCAAATATGAAGGCCCATTACAGTGGACAGTGATCAACTTCTTTCCTGGTTAACTAGGTAAATGAAAAGAAGACCATAGTTTCTTTAGCCTGAAGAAACAATTAGGTGAAATGTGAGGCAAAGTTTTCCAACTATTAGGGTAGTTAAGCACCAAAGCAGATTATCCAGGGAGACTGTAGAGAAATTTTATGAATAGAGTAGCCAAACATCTTTAGAAATCATCTAGACAGAGCTGATTCATTCAGATCGCGGAGACAGAGAAGATGGCCACTTGTGGTTTACATGCCAGTGATTTCCGTAAGGAAATACAACATCTCCTTACTCAAGGAACAGGACTCCAGGTGGTTCATGCTCTGAAATGCAAAACTGCTGGGTGCAGGGACAGGAATAGATTATTAGACTCACACAAGCCACATTTAGCAAATCAGAAGAGGAAGTGCAATGCTTCTCATCTCAAAAGGCAATGAAGTGATGAGTCAGTTCAGACCCAGCTCCACCAAAAGTAGTTACTTTCACTGGAGATCCACTGGTTTATACTGGGTAAAACATAAAGCTTAAAAAGCCAGGCTCATTACATCAAAAGCACTAGAAAGGAATACGCTTGACAATGATCCCTGAGGTCCACACAGCAAGGAGAGAAAGAAGTAAACAAAAGTCATGTCTATGAAATGATATGCATGAGGAATTACTTGAAAGCCTTGGGAAGCCACATCCTTCCCCAGAGAGAAGGCTAGAGAAAGAAAAAGTCAGTCTGGCCCAGAGAGTCTAAATTCTTTAAATAGATTTGAGTTTTTCCCCAAATACTCAGAATATGGTTCTAAGTCCATAAATGATGAGTAAAGGATTCCCAGATAATTGCAGCACCGCTTATAATTGCATTGCTTGACACAGAAGGAAATTAAACAGCCAGGTCCCATGAACTGCTTACCAGAGTGCTGTATGACCGTTGCTGCTTTCCTCACCTCATCCTGAGACCGACCATCTGTGACAACAACAAGTACCTTGGGAACACCTCGTCTCATGCCACTCTCCCAAGTTAAAACCTTTTCTTTGATAAATGTTAGGGCTTTGCCTGCAGAATGCACAATGAACAAGGAGTCAGACATATTATCCACAAGAGAAGAAATCCTTTACTTTACTTTGAAAGGGCAAGAGCCACACAGCTAAAACAGAAGAACATTAAAACCTAACTCTTCAGTCATATAATATTAGGATAATGAGGCAGTTTCTGAAAATATTTTATCTTAAAGAAATATAATTACTGCTCAGAATTACCTGTCCTTGTGTTTCCTCCTCTATACTGAATATTCTGAAGAGCTCCCAGGGCCTGAGCCTTGTCATCAAATGTATTCAGTTTAAATTCAGATTTTGCCTCATCACTGTACTGCACGAACGAAACCTGAAATGGAATATATCACAGTGTTCAGTTTCACACCTCCACGTTCAGACCAACTCTCTCCATTGAAATATGTATTGTGGTATATTAGTAAGCATTAAATAATTGAAAAATCTTTTTCATATATGTATGATTATGCACACACACACATATTTACATACACAGATATCTTTACAGCAACGTGCACACACCACTTCTTTCTTTCTTTCTTTCATGTATGAAATGTAATGTGACCGTAAATACATATGATTAAATTATTGCCATTACTATGATGCAGTATATATAGTGCCTATTCTCTGCTTCTGAGCAGATGTACAGTATCTACAAAACTTCTTCCATATTTTTTTAGGAAATACAAAAAGAATTTGTCAATAGAATGTCAATAAAGTTGGATATATAGAAAATTGTGTACTCTCTTGCCTTAAATACTGGAATACAATCACTGCATGTTCTGAAATCATCTTTATCTATTATACATATATATTTCATTTTGCTCCTTTTAATATTCCGTAAAATTGCAATATTATAGTATACTAATTTGATGCTGAATAGACATCTCTTTGTATGTATATATTCACATTTATTGAAGTAAATTCCCCTTTTTAAGTGATTCATATCCAATTCAAAACCTGAGATTGTTGCAAGTATCTCAAGAGGTATGGGACTTAAATATTTCACTAAACATTAGCATTTACATGTCTCTGTCACCTATATTAGGTCTTCTCTATCTCTAGGTCAAGGACCCACATATATTTGCAGGAAAAAAAGTATTATAAACCAAAGAAATGGAAAGGAAAACTACCTGGTATAGATTAGAGCTAAGAAGGATAAAGCATGTCTGAGACAAAGCGAAGTATGAGGAGTATCTTTTCCTTAAAAATGTCTAGAGAGTTCCAGATAGGGAATCAAAGACCTGAAAATATGCCTAGAAGATGAAAGGCAGTTCATGAGCAATGTAAATACTTTTTATAGTTACTGGGGAAAATCACTCCCACAATCTGCCACAAAAAAAAACCACCTTCAGCCTTCTAACCAAGGAAAATGCATTGCACCTGCAGGTCATTGCAATGCTGCAGAAATACCTTGTAAGAAACTCTCTCACATCTCATCTCATTCACTTCACTTAGTGAAAGAGAAATGGTTATGGGGACCTAGGCAGTGATCTCATCCAGCTTCCCATAAGCAGAAGAAAACCAGTAATGGTGCAAGGCTTACAGTAAGAAGCCTGACAGGAAACGTCTTTGCATAACTATGATCAGCCCAGAAATCCTGAAAGTCTATTCCTCCTTAGCTACTACTGTTTCACTCTGTAAAGATGCATTAATTCATTAAGAGGACTAACTTTTCACCTTTTCATACGTTCACTATGCCCACTGTGGAGTGGACCCACGTTATCTATCTTTAGGATGAGATGAAGAGACTTCTGCAAGTGCCTCTCTCAAACGGATTCTGACTACTTACTGCAGTGGGATTCCAGGCACCTCGACAAGACAAGGCTAATGACAAGCTAGCAAGACTCTACATGCACAAAACTCTTTTCTTGCACTGAGAAATTAAAACGTAACCCTCACTCAACAGTCAAGCCATCCCCAAAACAGATTTCTGATATGACACAGACAAAACCTAGCATGTAACAACTAGGCAGTGTGCTCGTTGATGTGCTGTACAAATAAACAAAAATATAAAATTAAACATACATTGACCATACATCACTCCAGTTTCTGTGCCTGCAGGATTTCCACACACTACACATTTTGTCTTTCAGAATAGTAACCTCTCAGCATAGACTGAATTCCCTTTGTAGTTACAAAATGACCAATCTATTTCATAAATAATTATACATGCACACACGTACACATGCGTTATACAACAATCTAACACAAAAAAATGGCAACATTCTGAAAGAAAGGAAAAATTAGATGTAACTTTAGTAATTCAGCTTCATCTTCAGTTTCTCTCCAAAATGTACCGAAAGGAAATAACAAACCTACCTGGATTCCAGCAGGATTAATCAAGTCAAAGGCTCCTACTGTATTAAAAACAAATTTCACTACTTTGTTGAAGTTATCATCACCAATACTCCAGGAAGCATCAGTCAAGAATACTATGTCTGCTTTGGCACCTCTGCATACTGAAAGACCAAGAAAAGGAACACTTTAAAAACATCAATCACATCACTGTGAAATAAAGAGCATTGCTTCAAAATTTGAAAATTCAAGAATGACAAACATTCAGCAAATTTCTATTACCAGTCAATCTGGCAGATGGTTAATGCTCAACACAAAAACATTTACTAAAAATTTTCAAAGTAAAGTTCAAAAAATGAGGAAGAGCTCAAGAATCAAATTTAAATGTTCTACTTTTTTTTTTTTTTTTTTTTTTTTCTGAGTAGCTACCATAAAACATAAATTATCTGCTGAGGGCAGACAGACTCACAGACTTGTTGCAGAGCTATAGAATATCATGAATTATTTCCCCAAATGTATGCACCTTGCTGTTCTAAACCAGGAAATGTTGAAGCCTAGTAAAGCTCAAGAGCAAATGGATGGCATTAGGAAACTGATCTCAAACTTCATTTCCCTAAAATGCTGTGCTAGTTTTAAATCTATTTAAATTTAAACTCTGAAGCAGTGCAACAACTACATAAAAATACTGAATAATTCGACAAATAAACATACCATCCCGAGCTGGAGGAATCGTGGGTGGTGGAGGAGGTGTAGGTGGTGGAGTTGGTGCCTCTGTAGGTTTGAGGACTAAAATGAAATAAAATTTTTTTTACTTCATTCAAGGAAAAACTCTAGATTATGTAATTTATTACTACATTGAAAGTTTCTGATCTTTTTGCACTAATCTAAACAATATATAATTGGCAAGGAAAAATTTCTTGTGTTACAAGCATAATGAGATTATAGCTACTGCTCAAACAAAGGTACATGATTTCATTATAACAGGAACACTTTTACATGAGTTGAGTAACACTGCAGTCTGATAATGTACCCGTTTTTCATCCAAGTGCTAGGAAATACTTGGTTTGAAGAACAGTATAAGAATTTCTCTTTCC